GGAGCAAGTTGCTATGGTAACCGCCTCCTCAGTCAAGGGAGCTGTTGCCAGGGTTACTGTTAGAGGAGGGGGGGGAAGAAGAAAAAGATGGTGGGGGGAAGGAGGTATGACTTGTCACTCTAGGCTTCAAGCTTACGAGTTTTTTCCTGTCTATCCTCCCCACCTCCCCTAGGTCTTCCTTTTCTCCCTCCATTCCTGCCCACCCCCACTCCCAACCTCCATGTTCTAGGCACGCGCCTGATAAGGCAGAGTGGGAGGTAGGTAGTGCCAGTGAGTTACTCAGACCCTGTACCTTAACCTCGGCCTCCTCTCCCTCTGTTGCCTCCCAACCCAGTCATGGCTGAGTACGGGACCCTCCTCCAGGACCTGACCAACAACATCACCCTTGAAGATCTGGAACAGCTCAAGTCAGCCTGCAAGGAGGACATCCCCAGTGAGAAGAGCGAGGAGATCACTACCGGCAGTGCCTGGTTTAGCTTTCTGGAGAGCCACAACAAGCTGGACAAAGGTGGGGAGGGCAGCGAAGGCTCCTGCCACGGGCCTTTCCAGCTCAGTTCATTCAACAAATAGAGATGAGCTCAAAGCTCTTATGTTGTAGAAGAAGAACCCCTTCTATGACAAGGCAGAACAAGAGCGAGGCTCTAAGAGAACATAGGGTGCTTTAGACATTTTTCTTTGACATTTTCTTTAAGCCATTTTCAACATTTATACATTTTTCATTGTGCCACTTGGACCATTAAAAGTGTTATTCAGATACTCCTGTGCTAATATCACATATGTAATAGAACATAAAAACAGAATTTAAAAGTGGTAAAATTTCAAATAAAACCACAACTTCTAACATTTTCTTATCCACTTTTAGAGACTACTGCTGGGGGAGTGGGAGGGGGCGGGGGCGGCAGGGATGTTATGGATTAAAGCAATCCCACACACCTGAGGGCTTTAAGGGAGGAATTGGTGTATAAGATGGCCCCGAAAGATGAGTGGGATTCCTAAGGCAGAATTCAAAGGCAGGCATTCTAGGCAGAGGAACACAGTTACAGAGGTGGGAGAGTATCTGGTGTGTTTGGAAAAGCAAGGAGTCCTGCTTGGCTTGACAGGGATGAAGTGTATGTTTAGAAGTGGCTGGGAAGGTTAGTTTAGAATGTGTTTTATTAGGCCTTGAGTGACAGGGTATATGATAGGTGAGGTGACTGACCTCAGGGCCCCTCAGATATACCATTCTGACTGTAATGTGGACAGAAGGGAGAGAGGCTGAAGGAGGACATGTTACAGTCAGACTATTGCAATGACCAGAGGAGAGGAGACAGGGAAGAAGGTCATCTATAACCTCCTAGAACTGGCCAAGCCATGGAGATCATGCTTTTGGTCACGTCCATGCCTTCTCTCATTCCGAATACCTTTCTCACTGGGCCCAGAATCTCTCTTGCGTTGTCTAGAGATTTCACCTCTCCAGTCCCACATGTGTTGTCAGGCAATTCTTCCTGACTTACTTGGAGGGAAAGTTGGAAACGGATAGTGTGGGTATGGGGTATTTAGAAGGTAAATTAAT